AATGTGCAAGATTTCTTCATCCTACTCAGAATGGTGTGCAATTTAAAACGTGTGAATTATTTATTTCTGGAATTTTCCATTTATTATTTTTAGACGGGTTATTGAGGGTAACTGAAACCCCAGAATGTGAAACCATGGATAGGGTCAGGGTGGGGTATACTATTATAAATTCTAAGAAGATAGGAATTTTTGTTGGTTTTGTTTACAGTTGCTTTGTTCATAGTTAACACATAGTATTTATAGACTAGATGGATAGATGGATAGCACAGCACATGACAGTGAGGTATGGGACTGAAAAAAGGAGACATCAGTTAAAGTTAGATATTCCACATCCATTGCCCTATCCCATGCATTTAGGTGACCCCTCCCCATTGCTTCCACTGAATGCATGAGCTATAAACACCCCTGTCCCCAAAGAGATTGCAGGAGAAACTGGTCTCAGAGACCTGTTAACATTGAGAAGTTCTCCATGAAAATGCTGGTTCATTTCCTGATCATACTATAGTACAGCTCACTAATGAGTATACCACCATGCTAAAAAAGTTCAATCAGCTTTAACAATTTTTTAAAAACAGTTTTATTGAGTATAACAGATTTGCAATAAAATATATATACTTAAAGTACACAATTTGATGAACTTTTTCATGAGTAGATACTTGTGGAACTATTACCATAATCAAGATAAGGAATATTTCCACCACTCCCCAAAGTTTCCATGTAATCCAGTTCTTTGTAGTTCATCCCTCTTTCAATCCCTGAACCCAGGGAACAACTGATCTGCTTTCTGTCATTAGGGATTAATTTTCATTTTCTTGAATTTTACATAAATAGAATCATACATATGTACTCTTTTTTCATCTGGCTTCTTCTACTCAACATAAGGATTTTGTCATTCATCCATGTTGTTTCATGTATTAATAGTTCTTTTCTTTTTATTGCTGAGTAGTAATCCATGGTATGAATGTAACACAATGTGTTTATTCATTTACTTGTTGATGGGTTGTTCCTAGTTTTTTTTTTTTTTCTATTATAAACAAAGCTGAGTAGATACCTGTGGAACCATTACTATAATGGAGATAAGGAACATTTTCACCACTCCCCAAAGTGTACAAATCTTTATAACATAACTATGTTGGGAAGGTAGGAGGAGAGGAAGTGTTGAGGGAGGTGTTATAAGAGAATTGAATCCTTAACCGCCGTAACAGGGCATTTATTAATACTGTTTTAAATTGTTAATTCAAGAAATAGCTGTATTAGCATGTTATAGTAGTATTTAAAAATAGGGAGGTATTTATAGTGCTAGAAGAGTTTCAGAAGTAGCTGCCTCTGAGATATAGAACTAGGGTATGAAATAGAAGTCAGCTGCTTTTTTCATAAGTTTTGTAATGTTCTGATATTTTTTGACCAAATACAGGCACTACTTTGATAATAAAAAAGTAATTTTTAAAGTAGGGGTTAATCAGATTGGGATGATAATCAAAAATGACATGGGCTCACTGTAAAATGCTAAATCAGTATATAAATGTGAGAGCTCTTTTAATTTAAAATTGATAAATGCTATGAGCTCCTAAATAAGGGTTATATAAAATATTAACTACATGTCTAAAAATAAATTCAGTGCAAATGCTTAATAATCCAATGCAGTTTAGGTGCTTGGTGATTTAGAAAAATAAAAAGGTGCTAGAGACATAACCCAGCAATTCCACTTCTAGGTATGTATCCTAGAGAAACATTATATGTGTTCAAAAAGACATGGACAAGACTGTTCATTGAGTCATTGACTAAGAGAAAATTAGAGACAAACTAAGTGTCTGCCACTAAGGAAATGGACACATAAAATGTGCATTATTGGATGGAATGCTCAGAAATGAAAGGGAATGAATCAGATCTCCATGCATCATGAATAGCTCTCGAAAACAATGATGAATGGGGAAATAAAACAAATTGCTGAGTAACATTTATAGTGTTGGCTTTTATAGAAACAAAAACAAAAATAAAGACTTTTCTGTACATACATATATGTATGTAAAAGTATAAAAAGAGCTGCCATGCTATCCACCAAACAGGTAATATTGGCTATCACTAGGGTGAAGAGGAGGAGACCAAGTTGTGGGTGGAAGTCAAAGAGACTTTCCTTTTTCTCTGTAATTTTCTCACTTATTTCTCCTCCTTACATCCTTTTCCTCCTCCCCTACCCCTTCCTGTCCCTCCTCATCTTCCTCGATTTTCTCCTTGGGCAGTGTTCTTACACTACATGAACTATCAAAAAACCAAACCAAAACAACAAAACAGTATATGCTTAGTGCAGTCTCTCTCTTCCTGAAAAATCTTATCCAAGGCTAATATTTTTCAAAGAAAAAGTAATTACCACTGATTTCGTTGAAGAAATTTGTGCCCTTTATTCTGTCAAGACAATAACAAATACCATCAAGATGAACTCAATTACATCAATTATTAATATCATTTTGCATAGCCTGACCTTATCAGGTGCCTTCTCATTATGATTTGACGTGTCCTTTTACCTTTTTTCAGCTCTTACATACTGTTCAGTTAAAACTGCAATCAAAATACTCTATACTTATGTAACTGCAACTGTAATGTAAAAAAAAGTAAAGCTAAACAAATCCATGAAAACAATGCAAATGATGTATGAGATTATCATCACTACAAACCAGCAAACTACTGGCACCCTGCAACGACTCTGAACACAGTGCAAACCAGCTGAGGCGAGCAAACCAGCTGAGGAGATCAAACCAGCTGAGGCGATGACCTTGGTCTCCAAGCTGCTCGCGAGAACGAAATCCATGGGAATATATGCCTCGTTAGTTCAATTAATGGTAGAAAATCAAAACGCCGGACCCCGAATAGGCGCATCTTGAGACAGAACGCTTGCCAAAATGACATTTTATTCAGAGCGGAAGGAGTGTAATCAATTGTTATTTCGTTTTCTGTATTTTTCAAATTTCCACTTCTAAATAGGGGTCAGCCTGGGGCGTAAAAAGCCTAAGGTTTTAATTCTGTCACTAACAGACGTTAGTCAAATCATGTCCTCACCTGTGACACTGGGCTTGAGAAGTTCGAACCCTCCAAGTCCCCGCTGGTTTTAAATTCTGCGGTGCGACAATTCCGCCTCCAACAGGTTCGCCAGAGATGTATTTTGGCCCTCTCGCTTCGCCGTCCGCGCAGCCTCCAGAAACAATCCTAAGTTCCGCCCCCTGCGCTCCAGACGGCGCGAAAACCCAATTGACAAGAACTCCCTCCGAAGCCCGCGGGTCGGATCTGCGTTCGGCCTGCTTTCTCCGCCGGGGCCCCACTCCCGAACTCTCAGCCTGAAGTGCCTGCCTTGGGGACAACCCGCGCTCACCGGCCGCGCCCTAGGGTTCCCTCTGCCCGCGCTTTCTCACTGCGTCTTCCCGCGTTCGACTCGCTTGACCTGGGCCCAGCCTCCACGGACCGCTCCGGGCGGGTGGGCGCCGGGAGTCCGAGACAAACTCGGCGGCCCAGCTCCTCGTTCCCGCGGGAGCCGGCCGCCTTCATGGCTTCCAGGCATGCGGGGCCGGGCTGTACAAGGTCCTAGGAGCCGGGATTCCGGGCAGCAGGGAGATGGTGGGGGTCCTCGCTATGGCGGCGGCAGCTGCTCCCCCTCCGGTGAAGGACTACGAGATTGAGGTGAGCTTGAGTTATCTTCCTCCGTCTGTCAGGGATAGGTGAAAGGTGACCCCGACTTTGAGTCCATGAGGGGAAAGGAGGGACATGGTGAGCCCTCAGTTGTGACATTGTGTGGAACAGTTGCTGGAATGTGTAGTTTCTTAAAGTCATGATAGATCCTGACAAACATTGAGATTGTGAGATCTTTGCAGGGCCGGGTAAGTTAGGACTTAAGATAACCAGTTCTCAGATCCTGAAATACTGGTGGAACTTGATATTTTGGACTGGAGAAATGTGGAGAATCCCGGGGTAAGTTTCTGTTCGTGATATAAGTTCATAGAACTTTAGCGTTGAAAAGGATCTTTAAGTTCAACTAGTCCATCCCTCTATCTATCTGTTCTAGGAATGCCACTTAGAATGTCACTACAGGAATCAAACAAGGGACTTTATAAAAATCGCTTACTTTGGCTGTCTAGAGCTTAATATACTGCAGATAGGAATCCGGGCATGGCATACTGTTATTCTCATGTGTTCATCAATGAATTGCACTAAGTTTCAGTGAAATACACTAAGCTGTCGTTGTAAAGAGGTTGTAATGCCTTGAAATAGACAAGTAGAGTCTTATAGTAGACAGTTGCTATATTTTTATACATTTTCATCTCAAGCTAGCATTCTAACTGAAGTATGCATACTGGTGTCCTTTAAAGGTGAGCTAAGGTGTCTTTTTGCCTGTTTAACTGGGCTCTTCCTTATTTTTTAGAATCAAATTTTGTCTATTTGCTGATAGGTGTTATGCTGATACTTGTTTGTTAAATCTAGGCAGTTGCTCAGCTTGTCTCAGGTGTGAAGAAGGACTTTTGGTACCTGAATTACACAGTTCTTAATTTTTGTGTGGTCAGTTTTATCAATCTTTTCATTAAGTTCCTGCTTTTGGTTCCCCGCTTAGAGAGCCTATTTCACAGTGATATTTACTGTTTAGTATTTTAAGGGTAAGGGGCTTATCCACATTATTTTACTTAATATTAATCCTGTGATACATTATCTGTATTCTACAGATGAGAGAAGGTTAGAAAGTAATTAAAAGTAACTTAAGTTAGAAAAAGTAAATTTATTTAAGGTCCCACACTAGTAGATGTCAGAGCCAGCACTTGGACTTAGAACTGCCTTCAGACTATGGTATTATGTCTCTGATACCATCTCAGGGTAATAATAATATTAATACTAACAACTCTTTAGCATTTCCTTCTAATACATTTACCATTTAATTTTAACGCAAAATTTTAATCTGTCTATAATTTATTTTGCTTCATATTTATCCAAATGATTAGAAATCTGTACCAATATCATTTAGTAACTACTTCTTTGTCCACTAACTTGAATGCCACTGTTATATATACCTATGTCTTTTTCTGGTTTCTAATTCATTTAATTAAGTTGCTTGACTTAATGTACTATGCTTTTAATCATGGTAGCTGTACAATATGTTTTCATTTTCTAGAAGTATAATGCCCCCATTCATTTCTTATCTCTTAAAAAATGTCCTTGTTTTTCTGGCAAACTTATTCTAACAAATGAACTGAGGGAAGTTAAAATTAAAGAAAAGACTGATGGAGCTTTTTGTAACCAATAAGCATTTTATTTTCTGTTATGTAAGTTGCTAATTTATGACCAACAGAAATAAAAGCTTTAAAAAATCTGTTATTTATTTATTTATTTATTTAATTTATTTATTTAATGGTGACATTGGTTAATGAAATCCAATAAGTTTCATCTGTCCACTTTAACAGTAAGGCGCGCGTGCGAACACACACATGCTGAGTGTTCATCTCCCATAGTTAGATTTCTTTCTGTCACCACATATTTGACCCCCTTTACCCTGTCTACCTCTCCCCTCCCCACTACCCTCTGGTAGAAATATAAATTTTTAACATTATAGTCACCTTGAGGGTAATAATGTAGGAGGGTAATAATGTAGGAGGCAGGCAGTAACTGTTTAAATAACAAAGTAAAACACTGGAAAATTTTGTTTTATTTGTGGTAAGTGTCCTTCACCATAACTTTTACTGGATTAGTAAATTTTGGGATCCTAGGTTTGTTCACTATGTACCTAATTCTCAGAAGTAGAAAATTTGTTTGTTTTTAACTAAAAAATAAAAAGAGAATGGAATTAACATTCATAGAGTCCTTACTATGCATCAGACCTTATATATTTTTATGTAATGTGTTCATTATAAATTCTGTGAGGTGAGTGGTACTACTCAAAGGTTATAGGGTAAACAGAGGCCAAAAGAAATTATACATAAGTAGAGTGGCCTTAAAATTTTTTATCGAAGTGTAATATGTAAATATATATGGTATAAAGTGTGCAAATTATAAGTGTATAACTTGATGTGTTGAGATTTGAATGTAGGCTTAACTTTAAAGCTCGCTTTCTTTCTGATATATCATGTTATCACCTAAAGGAGCCTTCCTTTTTTATCCATTTATGTAAAATATTAGATCCAGGTTTAAAATGTATGTTTTGTATTATTTTGCTTGAAATAAGTGCCTTTTTTAAATTTTAAATCAATAGGTGTGCAAAAAGCGAAGGAAAGATGATGACAGATCTTGCGAAACAATTACAAAGTATTTATCACCAATAGGGAAGACTGGAGACAGAGTTTTCTCTCCACCAAAATCCAATAATATTCTGGATTATTTTAGAAAGACTTCACCCATAAATGAGAAGACTCAATCAACACAAGAGTACAAGATAAAATCATCTGCACCATTGCCTGCTGACAGCAGCAAAGACTCTAAAATACCTTTGGAAATGTTCTCAAATATAGGGTTTAAGAAGAGAGGAAAGAGAGTTAATTTGTCTCATCAATTAAATAACATTAAAACTGAAAATGAATGTCCAATTCAAATTAATAGTAATGATAGCAAAGAAGACTCTAGTTTAAATAATGATTTTGTGGAAAGTAGCACTTCTGTTTCACTGTACAAGAAACACGTAGAAGTACTTGCAGAAAGTACTCAAGATATCAAAAACCAATCAAGCACTACGACCACCAAAAAAAGTTCCAAGAAAGTAAATCCTAAACAAAGGACCACAAAAAATGATTGTAAAAAATTGAGAAAAAGGAAGTGCCGAGATATAATAGATCTATCTGAAAGTTCACCCTTGGCAGAGGAACTAATTCTCCTTAAAAAAGATGTTAAAGATACTAAGCAGATAATGCCTTCCCCAATTAATGAAATTGAGAATACTGCAAATGATGCAAACTCTAGCAATAATATGACAAAAATAGCCCAGTTAAATGATGGTACAATAACTGTCTCATATGAGGAATTTTTAAAAAGTCACAAGGAAAATAAACTGGAACAGATATCAGACTCTAAAATGTCCATTTGCATTCCTTCTGAAACTGTTGAAGATAGAGTCAAAGGTGGTTGTATAAGTGCTATAGAAACCTGTGAAATTTCCCAACAAGTCCTCTCTAGGACAGTTACTGTTCTTGCACAAGTTCACTCTGTTCCCCCCAAAAAGACAGGAAAAATAGCCTCAATTTTCTTGAAACAAAAGCAGTTGGAACTGGAAAATAGTCTATCTGACCCTGAGAATGAACAGACAATTCAGAAAAGAAAATCTAATGTTGTTATACAGGAGGAAGAATTAGAATTGGCCGTTTTGGAAGCTGGAACTTCTGAAAGTGTGAAACCAAAATGCACTCTAGAAGAAAGACAGCAGTTTATGAAAGCATTTAGACAGCCAGCAACAGATGCACTTAAAAATGGAGTCAAAAAGCCTTTTGATAAGCAGAAAGAGCTCAGTGAAAAAGCTTTAAACGAGGAAGGAAGAGACAATAATTCTAAAAAAATAATAGAAAATTCCAATATCCAAATGATTTCAAATAATGGCAGTTCACAGCCACACACCGATAAAGGAAGTTTTCCTAAGGAGAAAAGTAAAAAACTGAAGAAAAAAGATAAGGAAATATTGGATACTGGTGCTGCTCCAGGCGAAAATAGAGAGGGAAATACTCAAAAGAAAAAAACTTTTTCCTTTACAGATAAACAAAATAAAAATAGGTTTAGAATGAGTTTAAGACAAAAAACCTCAGAAGTTTATCAAAACAGACTATTATTTAACAGTAAAAGTCTTATTTGTGAAGATACAGCAAATGATGACCCTCTGAAGATTTCCTCTCTGTATAACAAATCTTCAAGAAAAACTAGCACACCAGTTAAGTATAAGGTTATACATTCTGAAGCTGATACTGAAGACAACTTGGTAAATGTTTCTACTCCCAAATCAACCAGAAGATCTGCAAGAAGTAGCAGCATGCCTACTACAATAATCACTAGAGGTACAGATTCTGGAGATGCACCAAATGATAGTCCAGTAAAGGCTTCCACTCCAAAAGCAGCCAACTTAGCAGAAAAGCATAGCTTATATACAGCGGAATTAATAATAGTATCCTCTGATTCAGAGAGCCCTATTAGGTAAGGTAAAGTTTTGTTTTTGTTCTAAAGTTCTTAAATATTATGCATATACCGTTAGCTGGGAAGGAAAATACTTCAAGTATTAGAGAATATTTTTTTTCAAGAACACAGCTGATTTATAAGGAAAAAATTGTTTCAAAAATGCTGAAAATTTCCCACATTTAATATAAAGTCAGACCTAATTTTAGAATAATTCTAGATATATTTTAGATGAGTTCTAAATCCTTATTCATTACAGTTGCTAATCTCTGGAGAAATATCTTTAAATATGAATTCTGTGCGTTTAACAAACATGAGATTAAAAAGTAAGTCTTAGAACTTTATTGGGTAAACTAGGCTATACACTATGAGGTATATACTTGCATGCTGGTTCTGGCTAATATAAGAGTGATCTTAGGGGCTAACTTCCTGTAAGGTACATGATTTTTTAAATAATTTATATTTTTTAAGTTTAACATTTAGTTTGGCTTACTTTTCAATCAGTAGTTTGAAACAAATGGGGTATTTCTGTTTAGAACTGTCCAGAAATTGATGCCCTAGTTGGTTCTTTTCTGTATTTAATTGAAGTTCTTAACACATTATACTCATGGAACTGTTTCTAAATATCTTTTTTGTGTGTGTGTGCAGAATGAAATTCACCAGAATTAGCAGTCCCAAAAAATCTAAGAGGAAATCTAAGAAAAGATCCAAGAAATCTGAAGCAACTGATGGAGATTTTACCTCTCAAACTAGAAAGGTAATTGAAATATTAGATAGTCCTAAAAGTGGATTCTGTTTCCTAAAAAACAATAACTACTACTATTGGAAGTAATACGCTACAAGAAGATTCACATATTTCATGGATCGGTTAACTACAGCCCTATATTACTTTTCACTTATTCTGTTTCCTCTAGCTAGTTTATTAAGATATTAAGATATCTTATTGTGAGATGAAAGCAGTTGATGAGGACAGAGTATAATTTACTTACAAATAGTGTTGTTACAGTTACATTCCAATAGGTCATGATTGAATGTTTGGTTTATTTATGTAGATTAGAGGGTAAAAAAGAGGGTCTCTCAACCCTGGTACTGTTGACATTTTGGGCTGGATAATTCTTTGTTGTAGGGGACTATCTCATGCATTAGAGGATGTTTAGCAGTAACCCTTGCCTTTACCCATCTCCCCTATTTATGACAGTCAAAAATGTCTCCGGACATTGCCAGATATCCCCTGGAGTGGGGAAAAAACCACCCTCAATTGAAAACCACTCCTGTAAAAGGAGAAGTAGGATATATAACTAGAGGTAGGATATATAAATAGCTGCTTTGGGGAAATAAACTGCTAGGTTAGAAAGTAGAGTATTAGAATTTGGATTCTTTCCACGGTGAGTAGGTACAGGTATGTGTGTTTTGTAAAGCCAACAAGATTTTTCTTATATAATCCCTGGGTAAAACCTACTGCTACAGAAAGTTGGTATCTCTTGTTTTTACTTAACAGTTATTATTTTTTGACTGCTTATCACATTCCAGGCATTGTGCTTAGTACTTATATCATTAATCTCATAGAGTAACAATTTAACTCTGTTTTATAGATGAAGAAACTTCAAGTTCATTGATTAAGAAAACATGAAGTTTATATTGACTCTGGGAAGTGACTTTCCTAGAGTCACACAGCTATAAGTAGTTAGAAAGATGGTTCTTAGCCTATTGGAAAGCACTCTAGAATCTAGCTGACTATACCACAACTAAAGGTTGAAAGTCTCTGAAGTGTACTTTATGTCAAATATTTTATTCTACCTAGTTTAATTCTGGAGGATAACTTAAACTTTTATTTTAGAAAAACCATGCCTTGTTTTGTACCATATACTACTTAGAATTGTGACTCAGTAATAAATTTTCTAGCAAGACAGATCTCAAAATATATTGTATCCAAATTGGGGCCCTTATCTGAATTTACTTAGATCAGTTATTTTATCTCATACTAATCATCTGTCAATGAACCTCTTACTACAGGGTCTTGTTTTCTGAAGCTTTGTCCAGGCTCATTTACTAGCTCTAGGAGAAAATCTTAGTCTGATTTTCTGGGAGAGATTTTTCATGCTTTTTTGAGAATGAAGGTAAATTGTTTTTTTTTTTTTTCCAAGAGCCTGATATTCATAATGGCTCTTTTAACAGATATTTGCAGAATGGCTCTGGCTTCATTTTTTTCATTCCATAAGTATTTATTTAATGCAATACTATATGCTAGGTATTAGGGAGATAGTCAAGCGTGATACCCAGGGTTCTGGCTTTTGAGTGGATGGTGTTGCATTTCACTGAGATAGGAAGATGACTAGGTCTGGGAGAAAGATGAGGAATTTGGTTTTGGAAAAATGGATTCAAGGTCCTTGTGGGATGTCCAAGTAGAACCATCTATAATTAGCAGTTGGATCCATGGTCCTAAATCTTTGCAGAGATTTGAACTAGAGGGAAAGCTGAAGGAGTCATTAGCATATTGGTGGTAACTAAAACTCTGAAAATGGATGAGATGATGCAGGAAAAGTGTAGACGAAATTATGGGGAGAATGGATGAGCACAATGAGAACCTCAACAGAGAGATAGTAAGCATTAAAAAGGACATAGACAGAATGCCTGAATTGGTAGAACAACTAGGAGAATTTGATGTCATGAAAGCATTTCATGGAGAGAGTGGTCAGTATTGTCAAATGCTGCAGAGAGGTTTAGTGAGATATTAATTGAAGTGTCCATTGGTTTTTAGGAGTCTTGGTAAGTGCAGTTTAGTGGAATGGTGAATGCACAGGTAAAATTGCTTGCCTGAGGTTAGGCAGAAAGGAGGAGGACAGATTGAACTCTTTTCTAGGTAGAAGAACAATGGGGCCAAAGAAGGTGAGAAAATTTTTAAAAGTGGTTGAAATCACATGCAGTGTAATCTAAGCTGGGTAGGGAATAGAGGCTGTTGAACAGGGAAGTAGTAGAGAGCTGTCAGGACTGAGGTTCCATGGGTAGTCAGGAGTAACCACGTAGGAGCTGAGAGGATAGGTGGCTAGGTTAGAAAGTAGGGTATTGGAAATGATTATTTTTGAGGTGATAAAATTATGATTGATTTTAAATTTATTTTTCTGTTTTGTGTTTTTCTATATATTTTTAAAACTTATCTGAAAAATTATTAGAAAAAACACAGGTTTCAAGTAATAGCAATACTACTTGCCAGAATATATATGTGTTTTTTTTCCAAACATTCACTAAAACATGTCTATATAACAGTTTATTTCAATAATTGAGTTGTTAATTTAAATTTAGGTGGATTATTTTGAATACTAACTGACCGTAGGTTCATCAGCTTGCCAAAAGTTTTGCTAGTAGAACAATAAAAATCTATCACTCTCCTACTATAGCAGCAAATCCATAACATTCCTAAACTTCTTACATGTGTTTTGAATATCTGTGCCTATTCTTTTTAATGTGTTTTTTAAAAACATTTGAAAGGTTTTAACAAACAGCAGGTATTTCTTTAATAAACAGAGTAGAAGTATATAGTTTTATATACTTTTTATAGTTACATGTTTCTCCTTCCAGACTTTATCCTAGGCTTAAATAGACATCTGTCATTTTTAAAAGAGATCATATAATGTAAAGCTGTTCTGCGCCTTGCCCTGTGTGTGTTTTGAAATCCAAACATAAGAACCTGTAGAACTCAGAAGATGGAAAAGCAGTTTATCAGGAAGATAATATTTAAATGCACGAGATCACTTAGCACATCAATGGCAGAGCCTGGTCTGAAGACCAGATTTTATTCTTATCTGGTTCTCTTTTCCATATGTAATACCTTTTCAGATATCTCCAAAGGATTCGGCCTGAGGTGACTAAAATCAAAGAATAGATGCTATGAAGATGGTGGGGGAAATAACCAACAATTCTAATCTATACTATGGACATTTTTCTGAGTGTTTTTCACAAACGTAGTTGTATTTATCTGGATAAATTTCAAGTAAGAAATAAAGGCAAACCAAGTATAACTAGACACCTTTTAATTTAATTGCCTTGGTAAGATTTGAATAACCATTTCTTTTATTTAATGTGATTTGTGATCGTGTTTTTCTATTATAAATATTTTAATAGACTTTTTTTTAGAGCAGTTTTAGGTTCACAGCAAAATTGAGCTAAAAGTACAGATTTCTCATATTCTCCTTGCACCCATACATGTACAGCCTCCCCCATTATCAATACCAGGGTAGTACATTTGTTATGATTGATGAACCTACATCAACACATCCAGAGGCCATAGTTTCCATTAAGGTTCACTCTTGGTGTGTTCTGGTATATTCTTTGGGTTTGGACAAATGTATAATGACAGGTATCCAACATTATAGTATTATACAGAGTAGTTTCACTGCCTTAAAAATCTGTGCCCTGCCTATTCATCCCTTCCTCCCCCCTTAACCCCTAATAGCCACTGATCTTTTTACTGTCTCCATCGTTTTCCCTTTTCTATTTTTTTCTATTATGAAATATAATGTGTTTGCCAGTGATCTAAATTAATATTTTAAATTTTTGTTTAGGCAATCAATACTTCAAAAAATGTATCAAAAGCAAAACAATTGATTGAAAAAGCAAAAGCTTTACACATCAGCAGGTCAAAAGCTGCTGAAGAAATAGCAACACCTTTAAGGCGTTCATCAAGACATCATACTCTTCCTGAAAGAAAGAAAATGTCAGACACAGAGGTAAGTATAACAAATATTTATTGGTATAAATTTTCTCCTGTTCTACTGTTTGGATAAAGTTATAAGGTATAATTGTAAGACAGCCTTGAGGTGGTAGAAAGAATATCATTTTCAGTTCTGCTTTAAAAGCCTTTGTCTATAAATATGGTCTGAATCCTTATTCAGTCAAAATCTTTCATAAGCTGAACTACATCTTCCCTTTCTTCAAAACAATTCCCTTACTCATGTACACACTTTTGGCTCTAATCACACTAAATTATTAATTTCTCCCCAAATGGTGCATTTTTCACCTTTTTCAGTTTGTGATCTCATGATGGCGAGGTATATGGAGCTGCTCATGTAATTATCATGTCTATAGCTTTTGCACTGTAATCCTTTTGAAATTTTAATGACATTAATTGTATGACATTTTAAACATTTTTTTCGTATTCTGTCTTAGGACTCTGTAATAATAATAGATTCAAGTCCTACTTCTTTAAAGCATCCTGAGACAAATCAGAAGAAGCTTCAGTGTCTAAATGATGTACTAGGAAAAAAACCTAACAAGACTCCTAAAAATGTACCTGGTAATCAGATTTAATAACATTTATGATGAACATTAGAATGTTTGGGGGGTAATTATATTGTTCCTAATGCTCTCATTCTAATTTAATCTCTTGTTTTATAAAATGTAAACTTTTGATTGTATTAAATACTTCTATTTTAATAAGTAAGGTTATAATGTAGTGAAGAGTTTTGCAAAGGGTAACTGAGCATATTTTAAGTTATTGCATTTCTGTATATATTTATCCTCAGTTAAGTTAGAAGTTCCCAAACCTGACGACTAATCATCAAAATCATCTGGGTAAATTTTAACAAAAGTTAAATCTTTAGTTCTTTTCCTTAGACACATTTGCTAAGAATTTCCAGAGGTGGGTTGTGGGAATCTGTAGTTTAAAAAATGTTTGTTCTCCAGGAGATTCTGATAGTGATTTGTCAGATTGAAAGACCAGATCATTATATATAATTTTTGAAAGTTTAAAAGATATAATTTTGAAAGTACCTGGAGATTAGTGGAGATGATAAACATTAATACTAACCTAAGTATTTATTTTTCTAAGGGAAAATGAAAGTCGCTCCTTTATTTCTTACCAGAAAGGCTCATAAAACAGCTGATCCTATCCTTGGTTTTGATGAAAGCAGGTCAGTCCATATAAATTTTTAAATGCCAAAATGTTTTATGGAATGTATTTTGTACTTATTAATTTACATTGATGAGAAAGATGACAATATTGACAGTGCTGCAACTGAATTGAAAGATCTTGGTCTTTTGCAAACATTTTGTGGCCATCTTCAGACAAAATAGTGGAAAAATAAACAGGCAAACCATAAATATCAAAAAGCTGATTACGAACCTATTCAGTAAATACTTAAATTCCTACTGTGTACCAGCCACTGTTTTTGGTACTAGGGATGTATTACGGGGAACAAAACATACATATCTTATATGCTTGAGGCTTATACTCTAGAAGAAAAACAATCTATGATTAAACATTACTGGGCCAACATATGAAATATTTCAGTGTGCTAAGAAAGAGATACAAAGTTCTATTACATATTAAGTAATTTTGGTCTGGTTAAGAAAGGCCTTGCTGAAGAAATGACACCTGAACTGAAGGATGAGCAGGAATTCATCAAGAGAAGGAAGTGTTCCAACCAGAGGGAATGGTCTGTGCAGTCTCTATAGCTGGAAGGAACATTGTAAATACAGAAGATTGAAAGAATGCCAGTGTGACTTGAGCATAGAGAGGAGAGGTGAGAGGAATGTGAGACTAGGCTAGAGAGGTGGGTGCCAGGATGAATATGGACATTTGGATTTTGAAAATTTAATCTGACTGCTGGATTAATTTGGCTATTGAATAAAGAGTGGAACAGAGGAGGTCTTAGTGTGGATGCAGACATTCAGGTGTGAGATGATGGATTTATATACTCAGGTGTTGGAAATGATGTATGAAAAGATTTTAGAAGATGAATTTAAAAACTTGATAATTAATTAGATCTGAGGTGCGAGAGAGGAAGGTGTAAGGATGACACTTAACGTTCCGGTCTATGTAAGTAGATGGTACAATGGAAGAATACCAAATTTAGGGACATTATGGGTTCAGGTTATTTTTTTCCTATTTCAGTTTTATTGAGATATATTGTTAAATGCACAAATCTTAAGCATATAGTTTTGATAAATACATTAATCAAGATATATCTTTTAGTCCAAGAAAGTTACTTACTCTTTTTCTGTTATCCCCACCACCACCATAACAAAAGGTTACGACTATTCTGATTTCTATTATAGACTAATTTTATCTGTTTTAGAACTTCACATAAACTTTATATGTATATAAAGTTATATATATATATAACTTGTGTCTAGTTTTGCTCAGTATGCAGACACATAACTTTGTTCAGGTATAATGTATATACAGTAATATGCACCCATTTTAAATAAATGGTTTGAGGTTGAATTAATGTTCACATCTGTGTAATCACTACCATAATAAAGATACAGAACATTTTCATCACTCAATAAAATTCCTTCATGCCTCTTTGCAGTTAATCCCTGTCCCCTCTGCCCATAATCCCATGCAATTCCCTCTGGTCTGCTTTCTGTTGATATAGATTAGCTTGCCTTTTCTAGAATCTCATAGAAATGAAGTCATATAAGAGGTACACTTTTGTCTCTGGCTTCTTTCAGTCAAGATAATATTATCAATAGTCTCTTTATTGCTGAGTAGTATTCCGTATATACCACAATTTGTTTATCTTTTATTGATGATCATTTGGGTTATTTCTAGTATAAGGCTGCTAATGAACATTCTTATACACATGTGGACAAATGTTCTTATTTCTCTTGAGTTAATACCTAGAAGTAGAATTGCTCTGTCATTAGGTAGGTGCATGTTTAACATAATAAGAATAAACCAAAGTACTTTCCCATGTGATTATTCCATCGTATAAATGGAACAAATATGAGAGTTCCAGTTGCTACGCATTATTGTAGCTTTTGGATGGTAGGTGTTCACATTTTGTGGATGTCTTTGAAGTCATTTTTTTCTATATATGCTTATTTTTATTTAATTACTTAACACTGATAGACTTGTTTTTATGATAAGCAAAAGAATTTGACCAGCTAACATCATAGCTGATTAAATCTTTTCAAATTAAATTAAAAGATATTTTATAGATAGTTAACTTTTTAAGTGTTTATAAACTTAGCTTTCCTTTTTCACATTATTTTCTTAAAAAGTCAAGATACATCTGAAAGATTTCAGGATTGTGATGTGCAAGCTAAAGCAAAGCGTGACTTCCTAATGAGTGGTCTGCCAGATTTGTTGAAACGACAAATTGCAAAGAAAGCTGCTGCGTTAGATATGTACAATGCAATGAGTACCAATTTCCAGAGAGTTATTCATGTACAACAAAAAGATGATGGTAAGCTCGTTAATTATTATCGAATATTTACTTTTAAAATGTTAAAAGTGGTGAAATACATGGTGATGGAAGGAGACTAAACTTTGGGTGATGAACGCAGAATGTAACATGCAGAAGCTGTAGTATAATATTGTATACTTGAAACTCATAGATCTTTAAGAATCTCTCATAGGAGCTCCAGCCCTGTTCTTGTCCAAGCTACTGTTGAATATTTAAGGGAAATCTGTCTCCACAACAGCTTCTGCTGTTTAGTAACATACCTATCTTTTGGTATATTTTCTGGAATAGGTAACAAGTGGCAGTGCTTCATTGCTGTAGTTCACCCTATTCTCACATGCACTGTGCACAAGAGTGAGCACAGGCCTCTTATAGGAAGGTGTTAGCTTGATCATAATTCTATTTGTATTCTAATGCTGTAGCAACCACAGTCTTTACTTATATAGTTTTAAATTGCAGTTAGTGTGCAAAGCCTTATATCTTTACTTTGTCATTGTTTCTACCTAGGGTTATTTTTGTAAGCACAAAAACAGATATATTCTCCTTAACTGGTTTTGTGGTTTGGTTTAGTGCACTCCTATTACGAAATATACACTATGTTCTATTCTTTCTTTTCTTTTGTGTTTCTGACCTTTGTACTTTTTTAGGTTTGTTCAGCCTCTCATTTGTGTGGAGAACTTCCAGCCAGTCTTTGTAATAATATTCTACTTTTCTTTTTTTCGCATCTCTGCCACTGGCCATTCAGTTATTTTTTACTAGTTCAGCTTTATATAGTGTTTTCTAATAGTATGTTCGACTATAGAAATTAGTTATGCTTTTCTTCCCTGATTTTGATAAACTCATTTTCACAGGAGTGCTACTGTAAAACTTAGCATGTCTCTTTGTAGATGAGCAGATGAGGCAAGCACAGAGAGAACTTCTCTCTCTTAGAACCTTAAAGATTAAATTTTAAACCAGGATGCTAACTGACCCTGAAATTTTTACTCTGGGTAGCAAGGTAGATTTAAAAAGAAAATTTGCTAATATTTGCTTATTTGTAACAATTGGGAGGAAAGACGAGGTAATTTTTATTAACTGTATTTGTTGGAGGTGAGGATTTTGTTCCTTTGTACTCATCTGAGTTTTGGTACTTTTGTATTAACTATGTAGTTGTTAAGTCTTTTCATGTTTACATATTTGACATTTGATAAATGGAGAGTATGTATATGAAAGTAATAAAGACAAATTTTTTGTTTTTTAGGGTGCCATTTGTGGCATTTGAAACCACCTACTTGTCCTCTCTTACTTAAACTTAAAGAACTGAATACTAAAGTAATAGATCTCTCGAAATGTGTTATTGCTCTTGGTGAATTTTCAACATTGAATTCAAATTTGAAAAGTAATAATTCAGCTATTGGGGTAAGTATTAGAGAGCTCATCCATTATAGGTGTTTCCGTCACATCTTTCAAAGGAAAAAAATTGGATATCTACTATCATAGCCTAAAGTTCATTTTTTTCTAGAGTCTAGTTTTAAAATATAAATCCCAGTTGAAGTATGCATTTCTTTCGAATGCATACATAGAGTTATAAAAACATTTTATGCATTAATGATAGCCAGTTTTAAAAGAAGATGACATTATATAGCACATTTAGGTACTTTATAACATAATAAATATGTAAAGTACAATTAGTTGAAACAAAACAATAGAAAGATGAACTAAGTCCTTCAAAAACTGTGCAAATGCACCTTTGCCATCAAGGTTGTATTCAGTGACATTCCCATCAAGGTTACATTTAGTAACTAAGTTTAGTTACATTGATATTGACATGGACAGAAAGTTGGTAGTACTGTGCTTAATGTTAATAAATGATGTGGCTCTATTATTAAACATGTTATTCTTTATTTCAGTTTATGGGGAAAAGGAAAGATTTTACTGAAGAAGTAAGAAACCTTTTGCTGGAGGAAATTAAGTGGTCAAATCCTGAATTTTCTTTGAAGAAATATTTTCCTTTGTTTCTAAAAAAACGAACTGAGCAACAAGTACCCTCTGAATGTCATCATAAACAAGGTTAGTAATAATTATTATCATTTACTTTAACATTTCACTTTTGAAAACACTAAGGCAGTCATCAACCCATGGAAGTGGTCATAACAAAGAGAAGATCGTTTGTGGTTGGCAGGGAGGAAACTGAAGGAAAGCATCTTGTGCAATACAATGTTAGCCCTAGCCTGCTTCCAGAAATGCCAACCTAAAGACAGCTGTAGTTAAAATATTAATGTTAAAAATATTAATAGTTCACTTGAAAGCTTTATATGAGATGATTTGAACTAATATACAAAGGCAGTCTAAAAAACAAAATATTCAGCTTGCTTTCAGTATGCCACATTTGATTCTTGCCTTTCACTTTATAGTAACAAGACTATTGGATATTTTGAAGTGATATTAAGATTATTGGATATTAAAGTTTTTTGTTGATTAGTAAGCACGTGTATTTCTGTTATTCCCCATATAGAAAGTCCACAACTAGAGCCTGATGTCAGTCAAAAAGAAACCAAAAGGAAACGAGTGGAAACTGAAAATCATAAGTCAAAAAGAAAGAAACCAAATGAGTATTCAGAAAGTTCAAAAAAGATAAATGGAAAACCAAAAGAACTTGACAAAAGAAACAACTCCACTGAAATAAAGCTAGATTCTTCCAGAGGTCTATATTTTAAAACATCCAGGAAGAAACAAACTGCTTTGAGGACAACATGTAAAGTGGAAACAGAAAAAGTAGAAGATTCTGATACTCTGATAATAGATGATGACAAAGAGTCTGTATCAGAAATATCTTCTGTTCTTGGTAAATTAGAGTTTCTCTCTCTGGTCCTGGAACTTATTTTTTTTTTTTAACCTTTCACTTCCCCTTTCTCTTCATATATGCTTATTGCAACATTCAAGTAATATATATGTATAAAATAAGAAGTAGAAACCTTAACCAATTAGTCTTACAGGTCACATGTAACAAATTGGTGTTTAGTCTTTGATTTTTCTGTACTTCCATAAATACATATGCTTTTTTAAAAAACAGGGATAATACTATACATATTATTTGACACCTGTCTCTCACATCTCTGACATGTTCCCATTCAGGTTACCCAGCATTTCCAAAGTATCCTGTTGAATTGATTAATCATCTATGTAGCTTCAGAGTATGTTTTGATATTTGTACAACAAGTCTCTCATCATTTTTAAAGACAGTTTTCATCATCTGCTCTACTAAATGAACTATAGTTTCCCTTACCCCCATAAATCTCATTAGAGTTTTGATTTTACATTAGTTTATAGATTAGATTAATTTGGAGTAAATTGGCACCTTTATAACATTCCTTATTCTCAGTGGGGACTACAATATATATCTTTACTTACTGAGGATGACTTGGTTGGACACTTGAACATTTCTTTCCAGTTTTCAAAAGAGCCTCCACTAAAATTATCCTGTCTTTTTTCTTTAGATATTTTTTATGGTACTAATTATTTTTCACATTTCTATTATTCTTGAGTGGTTATTAAAATTTAAATGTGTACTTTTAAATCTTACTGTCATGAGACTTTATGGTGGTTGGTTTTTAAGGAGGCATTTGATGTAAAGAATTTTAAATGTAATATTGTTTTGAAATTGACTTTTTGGCATTTTATAAATATGTATTTGTATAAATAGTTATTATTACATGAAACAATAATATAAATGTCTAAGAAAATATGCTTATGTCAGAGAGCAAATACTTTAATATGTATTTTTTGCTTTAGATTCTGGAACTGAAGACATGCTTTGGACTGAAAAGTATCAACCTCAGAACTCCAATGAACTCATAGGCAATGAACTAGCTATAAAAAAGTTACATAGGTTGGTAATATTTATAAAGAAATTGAGAAATACTTTATGAATCTAGTTTTATTATTTCATTCTAAAATCTAGAAATTATAAAGTAATGCATAGCACAATCTTTAAAAATTTTTTAAAGGAATTTTAAGTGAAAAGTAAGTATCCTTCTCTTTTCCGTAGAGGTAAATGTATTATTAAAGGTTCCTTATAAAACCTTCTAGAAAAAATTTTATCCTTATATTTTTTCCTTCCTAACAAATGGGATCATAATACTACTAATTCACTTCCATAATCTTTTGTCTATGATTCCCACATCCAAAAAGTTCTGAAAACTGAAAGTTTATCAACTTTATTACACAAAGTTTATTGTCTTAATTGATCTCACCTAGTACGAGTTCATACATTTTTTAAAAAATAGAAATAGTAAGTGAGTATGGATGTACTGCCACAGACCTCTTTAGGGATGTTATGTGATATATGGTATATGTACTAAATTACCTTTCTAATATCTGAAAAATTCTGAATTCTAAAACTCACCTACTCCAAAGGATTTCTTATAAGGAATTGCAACTCATAATAAGAGTTTAACACCTTGAGCATGGCACTGTTATAAGCATTTGCATTGTTCTTAGCTCATTTAATCCCTAGAACAATATGAGCGTAAATACTATTGTCCTTATCTCATAGATGAGGAATCAGGCCTGGAGAGGTTGAATTATTTGTCTAAGGTCACAGCTAGAAAGTAGTGGAGCTAGAATTTAAACTCAGATAGTCTAGCTCCAGACTAGAACTTAATCTGTTGTATACTTAGCATTGTATATTAGACATCTTTTATGTTATCACACAATCTACCTAAGTTCCTTTTAGTTTCTGTGTACTAATTTCCTGTATAAGTGTGCCATAATATATGGCACACTTAATGTATTTTTCCCCTGCTGATGTACTTCTAGGTTTTTCCTCTTGGAGGCTAATATAAACTGTTGCAGTGAATATCCATGTGTATATAATCTTGTGTATTTAGGCAAAAATTATTTTAAAATACTGATGCTCATGTAAAAATATTTTACTAATTATCGATTCAGAAGCGCCATGAAGTACTTAACAACTAACAATATGCCATAACTTCCTCCCACCAAATCATTTTAAAATATACTCTACAAGATATCTATATTCTGTGAATTATTTTTATTAACATACATTTTCTTATGTAAGTTGGTTGAAAGACTGGAAAAGAAGAGCTGAATGGGAAGAAAGACAAAATTTGAAGGGAAAAAGAGATGAGAAGCAAGAAGGTATTTTGAGTTTTTTTTTACACTTCACTGAAAATTTTTAGTTAGATTAGCTAAAAACTTTTATTAAATTTCTTAATTGGTATTTTATATTTGGTTTTCTAGTTTTCGTACATTAAATTTCCAGTATATATTGCTAAGACGTTTGTGAGATTTGATCATTGGATTTGGTGAGGTAGAATTGCTGCTTAAGCAATTTCTTTTCTGCCTAAGTAATTATTTTGTATGCATTTGAATAATTTTTCAGATCTGTCAGAGAGAATAGACTTCAAAGGCAGTTCAGATGAAGAAGAGAATCGTCTTTGCAATACTGTTCTTATAACAGGGCCAACGGGAGTGGGGAAAACTGCTGCGGTCTATGCTTGTGCTCAGGAGCTTGGATTTAAGGTTAGTAATAGCTACAGTGGAACGATGATAATGTACTAACTACATTCGAATTTAAAAAAAACAAACCATTCTGCCTTTTTCATATACTCTTCTTTTAGATATTTGAAGTGAATGCCTCTTCTCAGCGCAGTGGAAGACAAATTCTGTCTCAACTGAAGGAAGCCACTCAGTCCCATCAAGTAGACAAGCAAGGTGTAAACTCACAAAAACCTTGTTTTTTTAATAGCTACAACATAGGCAAGTCACCAAGTAAGTAAATTATTTTCTTTGTCATAACCGTTTGAAAAAATAATATCTAAGAAAAAAATTTTAATAATTAGCATTTTAACAATCATTTTTTATCTTTTCCTACACATACACATGCCTTTAAAATTTTTTTTTGGACTGTTTTAAAACAAATCTCAAGACCATAATTTAATTTTACCCATATATACATGATATCTCTACGTTATAGGACTTTTTACAAAGCATAAGCATAATCAGAACTAATAAAATTAACTATATACTTTAATTTGATCTAATATACAGTCTAGTTTAATTTTTCTGTTTTCAAATGGTTTGTTCAAATCAGAATACATACCAAAAAAAAAAAAAAGAATCTAAACAAGGCCCACATCTTATATTCGATTAAGGTCTCTTAAGTTTCTTTTAATCTCTCTAATAATTCCCTCGCCCTTTCTTTCCATATCATTTAGTTGTTGAAGAATATGGGTCATTTGTCATAAAATTTTTCACATTCTGGATTTGGCCCATTGTATCTTCATGGTATTAGCTAACATATTCCTCTTTCCTATGTTTTTTGTAAACTGGCAGTTTGATCTGTGGCCTGATTAGATAGCTTCAGGTTCTGTTTTGGGGCTAGCATGCATGCATAAGTAGGACCGTGTACTTCCTATAACATTATAGCAGGACATACATAATGACTGATTATCACACTTTTAGTGATATTAAAATTGATTGATGAGTTTAATTGTTTTCCATTATAAAGTTCTCCAACCTAACAACATGGCAAAAAGGTTGTTTCCATGTCTTAGCTGTTGTGAATAATGCTGCATTAGATATGAGAGTGCATATATCTCTTTAATATCCTGTTTTTGTTTCCTTTAGATATATACCCAAAAGTAGAATTGTTGGATCTTACAGTAAATCTGTTTTTAATTTTTTCAGAAACCTTCATATCGTTTTCTATAGTGGCTGAACTCACAGTATACAAAGTTTCCCTTTTCTCCACATCCTCGCTAAGAGTTGTCATCTCTTCAAATATTTTTATTCTCTTTCTCTCCTCCTTTGGCAAATCCAGTTATATATATTTTAGATCACTTGAAGTTTTCTCAGAGCTCACTAATTATTTGTTCAGTTTTTCAGTCCTTTTCTTCTCTTTCATTTTGGATAGTTTCTATTACTATTTATTTAAGTTCACAAATCTTATCTTTGTAGTATCTGGTATGCCGCCAGTGCCATCCAGTGTAGTTTTCATTTCACAAATTGTGGTTCTCATTTTTAGAAGCTTAATTTAGTGTTTTTTATATCTTCTGTATTACCATGACCAGTCTTTCCTACTGGTTTTCGAACATATGAAATAGTTATAATTACTATTTTATTGTTCTTATCTACTAATAGCTGTCATCTATGTCATTTCTGAGTTGGTTTCAGTTGATTCTCCTCCACCCCCAATTATGGATTGTATTTTCCTGCTTTTTTGGATGCCCGATCATTTTGATTGGATGTGTAGTTTACCTTGTTTGATGCTGGATATATCTGTGTTCCTATAACTATTCTTGTGTTTTATTCTGGGATGCAGTTTAGTTACTTAAAAACAGTTTGATCTTTTCAGGTCTTTTATGCTGTGTTAGGTGAGACCATAGCAATATTTTAGTCTAGAGTTAATTTAACCCCATCCTTAGGCAGAATCCTTCTTAGTACTCTGTCCACTTCTACATTAATTATGAAGTTTGCCATTCTCTTTAGTAGGAAGAGTAACTGTCCCAGTTCTCTGTGAGCCTCAGGGATTATTTTCCCCAGAACCTTCACTGATCATTATTCAATTGAAGACTTTATGGGGAGCTTCTGCAGATTTCCAGAGTTCTCTGTGTCTCTATCTTCTCTTTGGTATCCTGCCGTATGAACTCTTATCTCCCTTGGCTTCTCAGGACTCCTAGTTCAGTCTCAGGGAAACCTCTGGACTGGTTTCCCCACATTACTGTGACCTAGAAATTCTCCGAAAGCAATAAGCTAGGCAATCCCTAGAGTTCATCTTGTTTGTTTCTTGTCTCTCAGGTATCACTGTCCTTTGTTGCATGATATCTAAAGTTTTGAAAAGCATTGTTTCAAATATGGGTCTTTTTTGTTATTTCATATGGATGGGTAAATCCAGTCTGTATCTTGGCCAGAAGCAAAACTGTTTTTCTTTTTGTGCTCATATTGTCTCATCTATGGCTAGGAGGAAACCTTTTTAATTGGCTTGTGTCCTTGCTTTCTGGCTTGTTAAGATGTTCCAGACCTAGAATAAGCTATTTCTCCAAGGAACTGATTATTTTGGTGGAAAGTCCTTTAAAAAGAATATATTGATAAAATTTAGCTAAAAACTTACGAGTATCTTAAAGTATAAATTGGCATTTTCTAAAACCAATCTTTGGACTGATGCCAGTCCATGATCAAGCATTCTTTGGACAAAAGTGGGAAAATAAGGACAAACTAGTGAATTTTGTAATAAGGTGAAATCTATTTAGTATAAAGAAATGTTTTTAATATTGTGTTAAAATGCCCTGTTTTTATGAAATGATAGTAATGTCTATGATTTTTTCAAACTCAAATTTTTCGATAATTTTTTCAAACACTTATAAGATGCAAGATATATGATAAGATCTGTGGAGATAAGAAGTGCAAAAAAAAGAATAGGACACAGCCATGGAATTATGCACATATGATAGTATGTGTAGAAGATTCTGCCCTGAGGCCATATGATGTAATTAGGACATGTAAAGACTGAATCAGGGTAGTTAGAGGAGAGAAAATGCTCTGCAATAAATGCTGGATGCCATTGGCTTCTTGGGGGAGGGGAATCAACCATTTATTTTTTGACTTTGTATCCGTCCTCCATAACATCTCTAGAAAAACATTTACTTGCAGTATTAATTTACTGTAGAACTAAGCTAAAATTTGACAACAGAGTTCTATAATGTGCTCAGTCTGTACCATGATCACTTTTCCTCCAGCCTTTTCTTACATAGGTATAGAGAAAGTAAATGGAGGGATTATGAACGTTATTTGATTCAGAATATATGCTTCTTTGAAAAAGAGTATCTTTTTCAATCAACTGGTTTTGCCTTCTCTACTGATAGAATAACTAACAATACAGTAATATTTGAGTATACAGAGATTTGAATATGAGAGAAAATTTCTATATCTTTGATTTTTAACTGGTAGAAAGATAGACTGAGGATAACTCATTTTGCTATTGGTTTAATTTTTAGAATATTTATTTTTGAGTGCAATTTGTTTTTGGCAGAAAAATTAAGTTCCCCAAGGAAAGTTGTTACATCACCAAGGAAACTTCCTCCACCATTACCACAAAGTAATGGATCAAAGCGAGCACTTCCACCTAAAACTTTGGCAAATTATTTTAAAGTGTCTTCCAAGCCAAAAAATAATGAAGAACTAGGAGAACTTCTGGAAAACAATAAAGGTAAGACATTAAATTGACAAAATAAATTTGACATTTTTAATGGTAAAGAACCTAAGACATAAAAATATGATCTTTTTTTATGATAAAAATATGATCATTGCTTGAGTGCCTGTTTTTTAAGCTTAGCTATGCTGAAGGTCCGACATAAGAGTTTTGATATTTTATTTCAGTTTTGATGGAGAATTTCAGTTTGAGCTTATTCTGTGGAAATATCTAGTGTTTTATTACAAGTTGATTTTTTGTAAAATGTTAATATTTTATTTATGCAGGAATCAAAAATTTTTTTGAACAGAAACAAATTATTCAGACTAAATCTACAAACACAACTAATTCAAATGTCAAAGAATATGGAGCTGAGGAACCCAACAGGAAAAATGCAACATCTCTCATTCTTTTTGAGGAGGTAGGCTTACAGAGGTATATATTCGTGATATCTAGTGGTAAAAACTTATTCTAAAGATTACTGTAGGTGTTACTGTAAAGTATTGCAAAATAGCCAAGAAAGTCAGGAATACTGTATCAGTTTGAAATTAAAGCAAGTGGAACTGTCAACCATAGAAGAATTTTTCAGGAAGGTGATTAATGCAATCCAGAGTTATTAATTATTCAATGATTTTAGAAATTATTCTGACTCATATTTATCCAGTTACAGGTGACTGCATTTCTTTTAATGTTTGATAATTTTTTTACCCTTTTAATATTGTAAGATGTAAGGTTTTAGCATGGGCTGACTTCATACTATTTGTAAATTCATAGATTTTGTTTCTAACAGACATATAGTATATCTGCTATGTATACATAACTGATGCTCAGTGAGTGTATTGTTACTTAGTACATTAATATTCTAATAAATGATTCTTAGGTTGATGTCATTTTTGAGGAAGATGCTGGGTTTTTGAATGCAATCAAAACATTCATGGCAACAACTAAAAGACCTGTAATTCTTACTACAAGTGGTAGGTAACAGTGATTTTACAATTAATTATTTTTGGTTAAAATATTTTGGAAAAAGATTCTAATTTTAGTTAGAAACGTTTTTTTAAAAAAGTTTGCTTGTAGGGAGGGAGGGAGCAATTGGGAGTTTTGTTTTATGAACTATATAGATGTCTAACCAATGTACTATACACTTGAAACTAATTAAAATAAGTAAATAAATTTTTTAAAAGTTTGCTAGTAAATTAAGTCTTTTTCTAAAATGAGGAGGCTCTTAGATCATTTTTAAACTAAGAATTATTCAAATTTGCAATTGATTGGCAGTCTTAAATAATTATAAAATTAATATACCTCGCAAATAGCAATGACATTAAAAATGAATTTTACTTTGAATTACTGTGTTGGGTGTCAGATATTTAGGAAGCCAATAGCAGCCTAGGATGTAGATAGATTTCTGGACTAGCCAGTAAAGAGGTTTTGGTGGGGAAAATAACAGATCCTTCTCTTTGCCTTTTACTCATAATTAGATCACCAAACCTCATTTATTGGTCAATTTTTTTATGGAACCCAACCTTTTTGCAGTTCCTTAATATTGAATTTAGCCATTCCTTAATCTCTGATAATATACTTCCATAAGTATTATTGCATATTTTAGCTAAAGTAAGCCATCATCAGCCTAACAGAATTGGTCCACCTTCCTAATAATTAGCATTCAAAGTTTTATTTTCAAACTCATACAATTTTTTTATTATAAATATTGTATTATGACATTGTTTTCTAATTTCATTGTAAATATTCAGTATATCTCTGCTATGGATTTTTTAGGAAAATGTATTTATGTTAGACTCCACTTATAAATTAATGGCCCATGTGACAGTGATTGTACTCTAAAAGTTTCAATAAAAATTATAATAATCACAAGTTAGATGGTAGTTTAAAATATCACAGCTACTTTAGGTCAAGATAGAAATTCAGTTTCTGTCATTTTATACTTAACATGGTATTTCATTTTTATTACTGATAAAATATAGAATATGTTCATAGAAAAAGTATAACTGGAAAAAATAATTTATTGGTCTTCATGTTTAAAAAAATGTTTTTTTATATAGATCCAACATTTAGTTTAATGTTCGATGGCTGCTTTGAAGAAATTAATTTCAATACTCCTTCGCTGGTAAGTTTTGAATTTTGATGGTCATAAGTTATATATCACAATTATGTAAAAAGTGATTTATTATGATAGTTATGATTTTAAAATTTAGTTGCTAAGGGATATGTTAAAATTTTGAGTTTTTGAAAACTGGTTATTATAAAAAAATTTTTTTCAAATAATCAAATTTTTACTAGACTCTTGTGTTCATTGGTTTTTTTTCATAGTAACAGTGCTTAAAATGCCCTTAAGCGTACAATTTGATAAATATTAACATACGTAAACCATGTAACCATTACCCAGATCAAAATTTCCATCACATCCAAAAGTTCCCATGAGCCCTTTTCTGTCAGTACTCCCCTCCCCAACCAGAAGTAACCACTATTCTAATATGTTGTATTAACCTTAATATTAAGGTCAATGTTAAGTTTTGTCGATTCTGAAATTTCATATAGTATGAAACATGTTCTTTTTGTCTGGTTTCTTTTACTTAACATTATGTTTCTTAGATTTATCTGTGCTGTTCTGTTGGTAGAAATGTTGAGTCATCTGCATTATGCTATTTCTTTAACTTTTAGAGAATCTACCAAATAGGTCTTCAGTGCATGAGAATTCTGGTAGCTATTGTCCATCTTTTTAATGTTAGCCATAGTGGTGTCCATGTCTATGTGTGTGTTTACATGTTTGCTTTTGTTAAGTAGCTTTTTTGAAGTATAATTAATATACAGTAAAATTCACCCACTTTATGTGTATGACTGAATGAATTTTGAGAAATAGATACATTTTCATTATCTCAGAAACTTTCCTTATGCTCCATTGTTTTTCTGTAATTTTGCCTGTTGTAGTTTCATGTAAATGAAATCTTATAATAGGTGGTATTTTTTAGTTTTCTTTTATACAACATAATGCTTTTTCAGATTCATTCATGTTAACCTATGCAGTAGTTCTTTCCTTTCTATTAATGAGCAGTATTCTATTGTATGGATATACTTCATACATATAAATATGTGTTGTCACACTCACCTGTTGATAGGCATTTGAGTTGTTTACAGGTAAACTGTTATAAATGAAGCTGCTATGAATATTCACATTAAAGTCTTTGTCTAGACATATATTTCCATTTCTTTTACTTAAATACTTAAAGGTGGAATTGTTGGTTTGATTAATATTAGAAGAGCTTGACAAACTGTTTTCTGAAGTTCCAATAATTTGCATTCCTACTAGCAATGCATGAGTGTCCAGTTGTTTTTCATATACTCACCAGAAGTTGGAATTGTCCATTTATTTGATTTTATCCATAACAATCATTATATATTGTTGGTATCTCATGGTTTCAATTTGCATTTCCTTAATGACATGATGTTGAGTATCTTTTCATGTGTCCATTTGCCATCTGTATTTCTTCTTTGGTGAAGTATCTGTTCAAATCTTTGCCCATTTTTAAAATTGATTTGTCTTCTTATGGAGTTTAACAGTTCTTTTTATATTCTGGATACAAAGTTGTATTGGATATGTATTTTGTAAATATTTTCTCCCAGTTTGTGGCTTACCTTTTTATTTTTTTTAATTGTAAAGAGTAAAATGTTTTAATGAAGTTGTTTACCAAGTTTATCTTTTATGGTTTATGTTTTTTGTATCTTATTTAAGAAATTTTTACCAAACCCAAGCTTACAAAGTTTTTATAGAAATTTCGTAGTTTTGACATATAGGTCTTTGATTTAAAGTTTTATATGCAATATGAAATAAGGCATAAGAGTGATTTGTTTTACCAGTAGATATCCAGTTGTCCAGCACTGTTTGTTGAAAAGACAGTTTTTTTTCTTTTGAATTACTTTTAGTTTTGTCATAAATCAATAGACTATGAGTAAGTCTTACCCTGTTCCAGAAGTGTGCAGAAGTGTGTATGTGTGTGTGTAATAAAGTCAAAGATTTCATAGGGGAAAATTTTTTGTCTTATTTACTACAAAGTAAAAATGCTAGTAGTTTTGTAAAATCTGTGAAATGTAAATACAGTTTTATAGATAAAAAGCTTTCCATAAACAATGGGAAGTGAATTTTACATGTTGTTTTACAAAAAATATATGATAGCAATATTAATAAACACTAAAATGGAACATTTTATTTGGTCCATTATCCCCAACAAATCATGTTTTTCATTTTTTTCTTTTCTGTTTCTTGCATTTATGCTTTTATGCATACATTGATATAATTCTCTAATTCTGGTTTTTAAAAATTATGTTTTTTAGTATTATTATAGTATTTATAATTTTAATGGCTGTAAAATATTCCATCAAGTTGTACTATTATTTAATCCTAAGAGATCTTCTCAAGGTTTAATAAAATTGTCTCCAGGGTTCAGGTTGGAGAATCTCCATAAAAGTTTTCTTAGATATATACAATTAATAAAAGAAATATATGTAAATGCTTTTAATTTGGTAGTGTTTTCCTTTATATTTTTCCAGATCAGTTTCATTCTCAATAAGTGCTTGAGACATTGTGAATTTTAGCAAAATTTGTGTTAACTTTTAGATACATATTGTTGATGTATTTCTGTTAACTCTGCAATTGACCATTTTTCTTTCCTCTTCTTCTGTCTTACTCTCAGCTAAATGTTGCCAGCTACCTACAGATGATCTGCTTAACTGAGAATTTTAGAACTGATGTAAAAGACTTTGTAACATTGTTAACTGCAAATACTTGTGATATCAGGAAAAGTATCCTTTACTTACAATTCTGGATTAGAAGTGGAGGTGGATTTTTAGAAGAAAGGCCATTATCCTTTTGTCGTAAGTTGCTGTGTTATAAAAGAAATTTCTATAATGGGACCCTATGTTAAAATATATGCTATGCCAAAATATTTGAATGATTATAAAACTTTTGAGCATCTAGATATCACGTTAATCTTAAAAATAAACATACCTATGTCAACTTTGTTGATGAAAAGTTTTGTAAACATTAAATGTGGATAAATAGAATTAAACTGAACCTACAACAAATTGTTACTTAAACATTTATAAACATATAATTTCTTATAAACAGAATTCTATTAGTAACTTCTTTTTATCACTTATATAAAAATGGGTGATTTTTCCATATATAAAAATTATTTTTATATGACTGTTGTAAGTTCCCTTTTAAATAGTCTATAATTCTATTTTTCCTAAAACCTTTATAATTTCAGAAATGCTTTATGATCAATCTTTAGTCATTATTACCTAATTCAAGTCACAGGTGCTTATTGAGGACTTCTATGCCAGGTGTTGTGTTTACATGAATAAAACATGGTTCCTTTCCTGAAGAAGTTCATAGTTTGTGGTTTCCATGCTTCATAGTGACAGTTTTGTAGTTAGAGTCTGCTCTGGGAAATATACAAATATTTAAATAAAACCAAGGTGAAGTTCTGTAATATTAATCCTGTCTCAGTTTTTTTCTTTGATTACTTCAAATTTTTAATATGTTCTTTTTCAAGGTAGACAACTGTACATTTAATTCAACAGAAGTTGGTAGTTTTCACTACTTCTTGCAAGTAAATATGATAAATAAAACATGGAAAATAACCTGTTATAAAAAACAAATTATCACCATACTACTGGATATAAGGTGCTATACTAAGACTTTACAAGACAAAAACTAATTATAGCATTATTTGTTGAAGATCTTATATGCATTTCATTCCTGTCTTTTAAAAAAACAGATATGCACTCATTAGAAATTCTAACAGTGCAGAAGTATGAAAAGTAAAAAAGATCTTTTTCACTTTTTAAAGGTAGCCACTGTTAGACCTTTGTCTATGCATATACAAATATTGCTTCCTACTTATTTAGCAAAATTAACCAATACTATTTATATTGTTAAACATTTTGCTTTTTTTTCACCCAACAATTTGTCAGTACTTAACATTTCTACTCCCTCTTTTTTCACAGCTGCATGCTATTTCATAATATAGAATGGCTGTAACATAATATAATTAATGATTTCCTATTTAGGGACATTTAAGTTATCTTCAGTTTGTCATTAAAGTATACAGTGAATATCTTTATACATACATTCTTGAGCATGTCTCTGAGTACTTCTGTTGGAGAGAATTCAAGTGTGGTTGCTGAGCCAAAGGCTATACATTTTACATTTTGATAGGTATTGCCAGGTTGCCTTCCAAAAATAATTATACGAGTTTATGTTCCCACCAAGAGTCTATGATGGTTCTTTTATATGCACTTTTGGGAAAGCTAGGTTATCAGTCATTTTAATTTGCAAATTTTAAAAAGTGAAAAATGATCAGTATCTTTTAATTTGCATTTCCACGATCACTAGTGAACTTGCACATTTTTTATGAGTTTGTGAGATATTTATTTGTATTTCTTATGTGGCTTGTCTTTTTATAGTCTTTGCACTTTTTTCTATTGGGGTGTTTTGTAAGCCCACTACCACCTCACTTAACCTGTGTTTGCTAGAAATGTTTGTATTGTACTCTTTATGAATTAACTACATATGTGGAGAAGAACAAAATGGGGGTATAGGATCAAAAGATGCCAAAGAATCTTACATTAAATAATTGTTTGCAGTGATTTGTTAAAAATAGATATATTAACAAAATACTTTTTTATTAATTTTGAAGGAGGAAGCAGAAATGTGCAACTTGTTTGCTCTGAAGATGGCTCTGATTCTAAAAATAACCCTAAAAATACTAAGAGGACTCCTGTAGACCTTCCCAAATGTGACACTGGCTGCGTTGAGACCTCGTTTGGCCTTACGAACATTTTCTCCCCATCTGAAGACCTGTTTTCATTTTTGAAGGTATTTTCAATGGCTAGTTTGGAATGTTAAATTTATGTTCTTTTCATCTTCTCAACACTCACTCCTATCTTTTCAATCTTAAGGTTAACTTAAATTTGCTTATAGTTTTCATAGGCTTCAGATTTCTGATTTTAACATATTGTAACTCTTTGACAAATGGTGCATAAGCATTGCTCTAAATGCATATTACATATTTAGAATAGAAATTAGAAATATTTCAGAAAAAGTATTGTTTGTACAAATGAGCTTCTAATTATTGAATTGGGGTATATCCTGAATATTAGAGAATTCTTCAAATTAACAGTCTATACTTATTTTTTAGATTCATAGTACTATTTTGGTGTATTAAGGGACTGTAGATTAATAAAATGAGGGGTAGTGACTCTTTACTTTGAAAATAGAATACAAATGACACTATATTCATATGGGTAGAAAAATGTTTAAACTATGTATTGTTATAACATTTCTTTACTCAAAATTGTTTTTCAGCACAAAACCAGAACAAAGGAAGAATGGCATAAACTCATCCAGCTTCTTACAGAATTCCAAATGCGGAATGTAGATTTCTTATATAGTAATCTTGAGTTCATTCTACCATTACCTGTTATCATTTCAGAAACAGAAAACCTTTGTGGTTCATCAGTAAGTGTGGACACCAGTGCAGCAACAAAAAATATGAAATGTCTTGCTAGGAAACATTCTGGAGAGAAGCCATTTAAAAAGTCACAAAAAAAGAAACATAAGAAAAAGATGGTAATTCTAGATGATAGTGACTTATTTGACACCGGATTGGACTTTTCTGCATCATCTTCAAATTCAGAAGAAAGCAAAACCAAAGAAAGCAATCCAGAGACAAAGAAACTGAACAAATGTTTAGAGTCTAACATTGAATCTATTCCTTGTCCTCCTAAAACACCAGCAGAAAAAAAATGTTCTGCCCTTATTTCTCACTGTTTAAATTCTCTCACTGAGTTCATGGATAACATGTCCTTCTTAGATGCCCTTTTAACTGATGTAAGGGAACAGAAGGAACTTGGTAAAAATGACTTTAGTTGGACAAATGGAAAGGTTAAAAGTGGACTTTGTGATGAGTTCAGTCTTGAGAACAGTGATGGATGGACTTCTCAAAGCTCTGGAGAATTAAAGGCAGCTGTAGAGGCTCTCAGCTTTACTAAGTGTTCTTCTACTATTTCCAAAGCATTGGAAACCTTGAATTCTTGCAAGAAATTAGGCAGAGATCCAACGAAAGACCTTACTTTTAATGTTTCACAAAAGCGCAACAATGTATACTTTAGTCAGTCAGTGGCTAATTTAGAGTAAGTCTTCCTTTTACTTTTTATTTTTCAATAATAAATGGTAAAGGGGAAATTATTAGGTTCTTACTAATTTTGAAATGCTGGGCTTTATTGATCATGGTAAGCCTTTGATATCAGTAATGTAGTTCTAATGAGACAGTTAAGGAGACTAGTCTGAATGCTGGGAAGAAAATTGAGAAATTAGGGTGGGCTAGAATTGGGAGACTCTTGAATGACAGGGAAAAGGGTTTGGATTTGCTGTGGTAGAGAGCAGGTAGCCAGCCATTAGATATTTCAGTATGGGAGTGGTTGATGGGTTGAAATGATAAAGGAAATTAATCTGGAATCTAGTTAATCTAGACTAGACCAGAAGCAAGGAGAAGCAGGAACCAGAAGCTGGTTGTATTTGAGATTGTTGCATTTTTATTGGGCACTAAAAAAGTAATGCATTATTTTTAATTTACAGCTGTTCTTGGAAGAGGGTAGCAGTCATTAAAAGCGTATTTTCTAGTCGATCTCTTCTGAACCTGGGTAATAGACAAGCTAGCATAATTGAATATTTGCCAACTCTTCGAAACATTTGTAGGACCGAGAAGCTAAAAGAACAAGGAAAAAGTAAAAGAAGGTAAAAGCTCTATAAAAATAACATTTTAGAAAGCAATTTCAAGATTAGTATTTTCATCTGATAGAAATATTAACAAATTATAATTTTCCTTGTAATTTTGACAGGTTCCTGCATTATCTTGAAGGAATTCACCTTAACATGTCAAAAGAGGTTGTGAACACTTTGGCAGCTGGCTTCCCTTAATATTCTACATTACCAATGCCTTGTACAGATTGTGATGTGGTCCCTAAGATACATTTTTATATTGATTTTCATGTAAGAGTTTCTCTTAATGTACATTTAAAACAGACTGTATATTTTTTATTAGTGTGCAAATATTTAAAATGAAAAAAATTGTGTTACAAATTGTATTTATGATGTGGTAGGTTTTTTTTCTGAATTTTTTGTATTATCTGATTTAGCTTTGTTGGAGTATTTTTGTGAGTGAGCTGTTTCTAGGAGGTAGAATTCACCAAGATAGTTCTAAAGATGTTTCAGTGTTACACTAATAAATAATTTTCCCCTTTCCTGGGACCTTTTAATCCACCTATCTCCAACCAAGTGTCAGTACTCTCAAGTTAATATGAATCTCCTAGGTGATAACCTTTTTAATGTTTACACAGTCCAGAATAACAGAATTACATATATAATTCATAAGAAAACTTCCTGAGAAATCATGCTTCATTTTTTAAAAAGATCTTCCTGATAAATTTTAGCATGCTCCAACATATTTTACCATTGAATCATTAAATGTTGACTGTGAAATCAAGATTACGAATTGTAGTTTTCATGTTTTTTACCAACAAGATATGTGATATCTTGTATATTTTGCCAACTTAAATCACTTGCCTTGTACATTTTTCTTGTATTTTTATATCATTGATGTTTTATTTCGTAAAGATATTAATGATGTTAATATATCTTTGGATAAACTGCTATTCATTAAAACCATAACAAAGGATTCCACTGAAGGAGATTATATATAATAGCCATTTTCATTTAATGTTTTTGGAGAAAGTATGTATTTTTAACTATAAGGTTGTAAAGTACCACATTTCACTTACAATAATTTTTGCAGTTACATAATCAGGTGTACCTGAAAATAGTTTTCTATTTCAGGTGTTTATATTAGCTTAATATTGTTAAATTATCTGGTAAATTACATTTTCACCTCAAAAAGATCCTGATTTTGTACTGCTGAAAAATATAGATGATACCTGCTTAAAATGTATATGAAGATGTTTTTACCTCTTGTTTAACCTATTTTTTCTTGTATTGGTAATATGTTGATTAAATTAAAGACATGTCCCAGGTTTAAATAGGAGTTCTAGATATAATCACGTGAGTAATTATGGATATTATATAGGTTTGGATATAGGCTATATCTTATAGGGTTTGTCCTGTACAAGAGAGAATAAGACGCAAAACATTTTTTAACGTATATAAATTTTTTTTCTATCGAATACAGAGTTCATTACCTGAAGAGCCCTTACCTGTTAATCTGGTCTTTTATTATTAGGAAATTCTGATAACCCTCAATAATTGAGGAACTAAAGTTAAAATAAGTCCATAGAATTATATTTAAATGATGAAAAATCAAGAATAACTGAGATATTTTCCTTCTTAAGAGGGACACATTTAATATTTTAGGCTTAACATAATTTGGGGAAAATTTTTTTCTCAATTCTTAAAGGTGATAAATTCCTGTAAGATTTAGATATACTTTTGTGATAAAAGTAAGCAAATTTTGATGAGTTTTCAATACTTAGGATCCTATCCTACCAATGTCTAAAACAGACACATTTTCATTTATAGCTATTTCCAGAAATAATGTGGGAAGTATAATACCACGTGTCTGGCATGAACAACTGGATGGTTGGTGAGGCTGTTAACCGAAGTATAAAACAGTAGCAAAGGAGGTGGTTTGGAAGAGAATGATTTTAGACATGTATAGTTTGAGATATCTACATTTCCAAGGTGGGGATATTTATGATACAACCATTCAACTGTAGAGTTTTACATGTGTATGGCAACAAGTCTAGAGTGTATCCTAAACTCTCCAAGGAGTTTCAAGGTGCTGGAGGACTTCCACTTATTTTATACATTCCTGATTATTTGAAATTTTCCCCAATAAGTATATTTCACTTTTAAAGACAATGCTTTGACATCAAAGAAACCTGGGTTCAGTATAGGTGAGGTATATTTTCTCAAATGAGAAAATAAGTGATAGTATTTTTAAAAATAAGCTTTATGAATATAGTGATGAAGATCTATAACATTTAGAAATAATCTACCATTGCTTTTTTCAGTAGCTGCCTTTGCTACATAGACTTGGACTAAGGCAGATATAATGGAAAAATAGTGCTACTTTTCTCAAAAGATGGTCTGTCAAGTAAAAGATTTCAAAGTAATATAATGAGCCTAATAATTAGACAAAGCTGGCTTGTTCTGTGCTTGATAGCTTGAGCTGATGAAAATCACCTTTTGGACGTAGTGCATCAAATCACATTCTTTTTACAGAATAAGAAGAGGATTCCACAAGTTGTGTTATCAGTTATATTTAACTTTATTCCCACAATGAGCACCACTCAGAAAAACTCATTCTCTATTTCAGCAAATTCTTTAGTATAGATGGTATTTGCTTTTAAAGATAACTTTGTTTCTCGTTTTGGCTGTTTAGGGGCTATCTTATTATTTAACACTTAAAACTATAAAGGCATAGAATCTCATAATTATTGATTTGGCCTTGGCTTATTGTGTAAACCACTGAAGAGCCAAAAGTCTGACTTTAAACGTCTACAAAACATGTTTTCTTCTCCATTAATATGGATGTTCTACACAGTTGGTTTTTGCAACTTTAAAGCTAATAAATATAATTTAACATTAAAACATTATATATCATCAGAATTTTAAGGTTGAGTGTCAAACACTGCTAATTCATAGAAGGCAACAGCTTGTAATAATGAATCATATAACTCTTCTATTCTGTATTGTTCAGTAGACGAAAACATCTGTCTGTAGTGGACTATCTTATCTGTTGGGAAGAATACCCGAGGCTCTTCTTTCAGTACAGACTCTGAGAGAAACTGCTTCACTAGTTCTTTTCCACTAGTCCGGGTGTCACCAACCATTAGTTCAAAGTGCTTCCCCACTGCATTTCGGTTCATGCTCAGCACCTGATGTTGGCCATCCTGGGCAAAAGTTTTGTTTAATAAGGCATAAAGCATGGCTTCTATGGTATGCAAATGTAATAGTATCGGAAACAAAGAAGAGTTCTGAATTGAAAGTCCTGTTTTTTCCAGAACATAAAAGTCTGCTTTAGGTATCTTTGAAATGACTGAAGAAATCTTTAAAAAAAAAAAAAAAAAAAATACATAAATGAGCAGAAGTCATTAAGTTTCATTGTTTGGGTCCCCTCTCTGTCCCACTTCTGTTTTTAAAATATATAACTTACGTTATATTGCTATTGACAATTTTGAAGTAATTGGAAAAGCATTTATAGAAGAGTCAAGACAGCCAAGTTCTGGTCATGGTTCTATCAGGCACAAGCTGAGCTAAGACAAGCCATTTAGTCTTCCTAAGTACTACTTTCTTCATCTGTAAAATGGGCTCATAATTTCTAAAATCTATGTTGGCTTTAAGATCAGACAACTTAAAACTTTTATTAACCTTTTAAAAATTTCTAGAGTAGAGCATAGGGTTAGAATAACGAGCTTAAAATCAATCACCTCTGCAACTGACTAATCACATCAGATGCTTGATTGAACCAGTTTTAATAGGTATAATCAGGGTGATAATTATTGCCCATCTCAGCTTTCAAAGACTCAAATGAGAAAATAAGTGATAGCATTTTAAAAAATAAGCTTTCTGAATAGATGTTGAAGATTTATAACATTTAGAAATAATATACCATTGCTCTTTTCAGTAGCTGCCTTTGCTATATAGGCATTTCTTGAAATAAATGAAAGATTCAATTTTTAAAAAAATCACTGGTGATGGAAAACATAATTGGAATGGGTAATAATAACTAAAAGAAAATCCATTCTTACTATTTTATTACAGGGTAATAATAACTAAAAGAAAATCCATCCTTACTATTTTATTACATTCCTTTTAAGATTTCAGTAGCTGCCTTTGCTATATAGGCATTTCTTGAAATAAATGAAAGATTCAATTTTTAAAAAAATCACTGGTGATGGAAAACATAATTGGAATGGGTAATAATAACTAAAAGAAAATCCATTCTTACTATTTTATTACAGGGTAATAATAACTAAAAGAAAATCCATTCTTACTATTTTATTACATTCCTTTTTAGAAGATTAAACTGTACAAGGAGCTCTAGCAGGTAGGAATTTGGAGGTGTAACTGCCTTACCTCTTCTAAGTAGACAGAAGATAAGTATGTTCCTTTCATCAACGGGCAACATTCATTTTGCTTCCAGTCTAGCACTACCAATTTACGATCAAGGTGAGCCCAGGCAATTCTTCGAGTACCAAAAACAATGGATACGATACTATTAACTGCCTAAAACAAAAAGCCTGCTTTAATTGCAAGTGTAAACTAATTTTGACAGAAAATTTAAGCTAAAAAACAAATCGAAATTAGGTAATAGAAATACATTTACAGTTCATGAACTAAGAATTCTTAGAGAAATTATCAAAAGGTAACCAGTAACAGTTTACAGATAAAGAACCTTTAACTGTCCTCAACACCTAGCTTAAAGTAGGCACTTAAATACGCAAATGTTGCTGGGGACTGTGCTAGATCCTGGGAAACCAGGAACATAGCCATACATTATAAGAAATATCGCCATACAATAGTTACACTGTAGAAAGGAGAAATGGTCAGGGAAGACTTACTGGAGGACTAGGAGAATGAGTAAAATGGTAAACGGGAAGTTATTTCATCCAGATGTCCACATGGTAAGATGGTTTGACACCTCAGGCAGTGGAATAAAGAATGCAACTGGGAAAAGGGCAGAGGGGTAACTTGCTTTATCCTGAGAGCTATAGAGAACAACTAAAGCATGTAACATTCAGGCATGACATGAGATTTACAGTCGAAAAGATCACAGCTTTGTGGAAGATGGACCAGAGGAGGCTAGACTAGAGATAGGGATTTGTTCTAGGTAACTGTTACATGACAGAGTATTAAGACAGTAGCAGTGAGAAGGATAAGAAACATCAGAGATAATGTGAATAGAACTGATATGTGGGATGATCAAGGAGCCTAGGGTAACTCCAGTTTTATTTCAGTGACTGGCATCATTAATCAAGATGATGATAGGCAGATGGAAGGTCAGGGGAAACAAGTTTTTTAATCTATTTTGTTCAGGATGCTTCTAAGGGGAAGTATGTAATAGATAATTGGATATATGGATTTAGCTCTGTGCGAAGTCTGGGCTGGAAACAATACAATGGCATCACCTCATTCCCACATGGTTCATTTAGTTATATGGACAAATTAATATGTTCTATAGATACAGAGGCAGATAAGCAGGAACATTTCATAATCCTATACCCATCTCCCTCTCACTGCCAAGGAATGGATAAATATCCATTAAAGGCAGAATAGTTTAGATGTCCAGACATCTACAAAATACAGGCCTTCTTTTGGTTCTTAAGTTCAATGATCCTTGAGCTTTAGTGTGCATAAGAATTACTGAACCAGGTTGCCTACAGTACTTCATCAGCAAAAGATTTTTTCCAAGGGCTTTACCGCATGATTTTCTCCATACAAACTAAGTTTAGAACCTAGGCCTCTAAATAAGATGTAACTCCACTAATCTGAGTATAAATAATAGTTTTAGCCATAAGTTTGAATGAAAATCCAAACCGTGAAAAATTTGGTTCAAATGTTTCAGATCAGTGGGAGTTCTATTAGGAGTCCAGATGAATGAAATCTGCAAGTCCTCTGAAAGTTGCTGCAATATTCTGTGTATGTATGTCTGTCTAGCTAGCTGTCTTATATTTTTCCTGAAGAGTGTCCACAGCTTTCAACGGTTTTCAAAAAGTATCTGTAATCTCTCCAAAATTGAAAACTCCATAAAAATTGATTATTATGGGATGAGAATATTTTATCAAGTAATGCAACATAGGACCCAAGTTCCTCCAAGGTTTAATGTTTGATGTGTCAAGTAATTCTAATATTTACTTTTTCAGAGAACAATGAAAAAGACTTGCTTTCCGAACGCTTTTTAAAGGGAGGATGGGGGCAGAAAATAACTTTAAACCTACTGGAAAGACAAATATAATGTTCTAAAGTCACTCCTTGGCCATAAGCTATCTTTGCATCTTAATTTCTCATTACTCCCAACATAACTAGCAGACACAGCGAGATATCTCAACATTCCTCTTAAATAAACCTTGCACAGACCTACTTCTCTATGTCACTGTTCTTTCTTTCCAGAACACCCTCCTCTTTCAGCTTGCCTCTCTCTCTCCAAGATCCAAGCTGAGTTCTTCCAGTAGACTTTTCCCAGCAAATTAACAAACTATATATCTCATTCTTTGATACTGATCACACACTACTTTGTATAATAGGTTATCTTATAATATGTGTATGTCTGGGCCTACCAACTGGTGCCCAGAATAGTGTTTTGCAAAGTAGGTTCTCAAATATTTAGGTAGTATAACAAACATTAAGAAAAAGGGTATACCTTAAGTCTCTCTCTTCCTATTTCCGGTTTGATGAGCTTTCTCAAGAGCCGGTTTTCCTGCGACTTTCTTTTTTTCCCTCCAGTCTCTGGACAAAGAATGGAGTTACAAACTTGAATGGTAGTTTTATACTGGAACAAGGGCACATTCATTAAACTCTCCAAATTCTGAAATGGCCCAAACTTTTCTCTGTGCTCTACAATATTGATGGACTTTCTCCCACGAAGCAATTTGAAAGCTTCAAGTTCTTTATCAGATGCTGTATTCAACACGTGCAAGATGGAAGCCTGCTGTTCTGAAGAGAAGAGCTTGTCAAGTTCATTTCCAGATTTCTTTGTATTTTCATTACAAAAAGCAACATTGGAAATAATTTTCTTAGGTGCAGTGGATTTTTTCTGACAG